CCCCCCCCCACTCTGATTATGTCCAGCATCTGTGCACCACTTTTCAAAGTTCTCCCTCGGTAATCTTTGGGAATAGTTGATGAAAGTAAAAATCACTCAAGATAGTAATATTGTGCTCCCAAGATTCCTCTCGTTCAATCTTGATAACAGCACTATCCTTTGTGGTCCATACAACAAAGTAGCAGAATTTGCGCTTTGTCAGGAACATCTGGCCTTGACACTGATGCCAGTAAACATGTGTGGTAGACAGCGTATAATTCCCTTCCTTCTCCTCCAAGTAAAAGTCTTTGTGCCCACAAGCTTCCTTGATTGTCGCATTTCGATGTGTGTAGGGGCACTTACACTCAATCACCGAGTCGTCTCCCACAAGTCCATCAGGGGAAGCACCCAGAACTCCCGACTCGTGTAGCCAAAGGCCGGTCTGTACAGGTGTAAAGTTTGTGATGTTGGTGAAGGATTTCAGGGCCTCAGTCTCATTGTCCTGTCCCCATGCAATTGCTTTAACTCCACTCAAGTTGTATTCCCCAAGTAGTCGCTTGATAAGAGACGGTGTAACTCTTTTTGCCTGGAGGACGGAGCCAAAATTACTGGCAGTCAGGCGGCCTCTACGAGCTTGGTGCCATGCAGGGCTGTTTCGCTGGCCAGCCGTGAGGGTGCTCACAACATTTATGGTTCTCTCCTCTACTTTGGCATTCTCAATCAAGTACTCTAATTGTTTTTCCTTCGTAGATGCCATAAGGAAACCTTCTGAGTAAATGATATCCTCAATCGTCTTGATCGGGAGAGGGGTAGCAGGTTGTGGTTCGGGACTCAAGATCCAGCAGGTCCCTGTAAATTTGCCATAGCGCTTTAGTTCGCTGTACAGCCACATCCGATCTTCTCGGCTAGGATCGCGCGCCAAAGGGCTGTAATCCTTCTTCTTCGGTGGCGCTGGAAACATCTGGCTTGCAGACTGTACGCTTTCTGCCTTTCGCTTTCGTTTCCATTGGCATTCCAGGTCCGTCCTGCTAAGGTTATGGATGCCATAAATAAATATGGCTGCCGCGTGACTGCACTTGAACTCGCCGCGAGGACACTCGCATTCTGTGTTTTTTATTTCAAGGTTTTCATCGAGATAAATCTGATAAAAAGATAATTCGAAACAGACACGTAAGTTGCAATATATATTCCGCAATATAAACATTAAATTGGAGGTGAAATCGGGGTTGGGAGTTCTTCGAATTGAACATACGTGTTGTGATCCCAAATTGGCAACTTACTGTGACTTTGTAGTCCTTATTTTTCATGCTTGCTTGGACTTCACCTTTGATGACTCCCCTGGAATAAATAAAGCTTTGGACATGGTCGGATTTGAAGTGGTTTTCTCCGCGATCAAGCGATTTCCGCTCTCCAGAAAAGAAAGAAACGAGTGAGCATATCGATAAAGACGCCATGTTTGAAGTATGAGTTTAAACTGTTTAGACCAGAAAAAAATGCTGTCATGGCAACGTGACGTCACACTTTAGGACTCTATGTGCCGTACATCATCCACTG